GACCTTGATACTCGGGGTGCGACAACTTAACCACTTCACTAAGTCGCCACACCCTTTCAGTGCCAATTCTGACAACGTGTATTTAGAAAAGTCTAACTATATTAATTTTGTAACTATAAAAAAGATAACTATAGAGAAGTTTGACTATATTATATAAAATTTGTAGAAATTTTTCTGATTCTAATAATAGTAAATTTGTTAAAATTGATTAAAAACTCAATAAGATATGAAGTTTTGAATATTAGATATAAAATTTTAAAATTTAAAATTTATTACACATCAATATGTTGTACTTTTCAGTCAGAGATATGGTCTCATAATTAATATTAAAAAAATATATATATTGCACTTTTCTATTATATAAAAATTTTTACTATAAAACAATCTTTGGGTTCTAATAAAAAATTCTTTGTAAATTTTAATATAACCTATACTTCTGCTTTATCTTAACCCTAATTCTAATATTAATCAAAATTTACTTTTTGTTTTGATAAAAATTTTTTTGTTACATAAAATTAATGATCTTCATATCGTTATAATAGATACAATATATTGCACTGTGCAATAAATTAAAAATTTCTAAAATTTTAATATTAAAATTATCATATATATTATGTAATTTGACCAATCAAAATTAACAATTTTGTGTAACTAAAAATGTTGAACTAACCCAGAAAACTTGTTATATATATAAGTATATTTTTTAATAAGATATAATAGTTCAAAATTTTACTATAATGATAAATAATTTTATCTATATATATTATAAAAATTTAATAAAAATTAATTGTAATTTGAAAAAATTTTATTAGTAACAACTTTCAATTTTATAGTAAATTTTAAAATACCATGTAGATCATATGAAAAATGATCTATGTACCCTCTACCCTTAATCTTCGGGAAGTTCAACAGGCTCAATCAAGGCACTTACTAAAAGACCTTCTTTATCGAATTTATATTCAGTAGATTCATATTTGGCATCTTGATGCTTTAATTTTGAAAAATCAATAAGTTTAGATGTATAAATCGATTGTTGTTTTTTCTTAGGATGTCGACGTTTCTTAAGTCCTCGAACTTTTCTGTCAGCAGAATTAAATTGATTTTCATTTCTGGAACGATTGTTCCATGCGGTAATTATACTCAATAATTCAGTACTAGATGGTCGTTTTAATGGATCTGCATCCCAACATCTGGTCATGACATCGACATAACATTTCGGAGTACCAACAACAATTTTAGGACGCTTTCCATGAATTACTATATCCATTGCCAACTTTTCATCATACTTTTCATCATAGTATGGCAAGTTTTCAGATGTTATCTCAAACATTATTATACCAAAGCTATAAATATCAGCTGCCTGAGTATATTGATATTTCGTTAAAACTTCAGTGGCTATGTATGGGAGCACGCCGATTATAATGGAAGCATTGGAAGCATTAGAATCAACAGAGTTAGATAATCCAAAATCACAAATATATGCGCTTAATACTGATACACTTAATTCATCCTGATCGATTAGGATGTTGCTTGAATGCAAATCTCGATGTTGATAACCTTTTAAATGAATTTGATTCAAACCCTGAATAATTCCTTCTAATATCTTCAATCTTTGCCACCATCCGATAAAAGCCCTTCCTCTGATAAAAGAATATAAACTGCCATAACTTGCATATTTTTGAACTAATCCGTATTCGCAAGTTTGATTTCTTGTAATCCCATAGCACCGAATAACCTTGTCGCAACACACATGTAATTTAATCTAAATTTAAATAATGTTTAATCTTTTAGACAAAAATCAATTTGACCAAATTATAGGTAAATTAAATTTACTTCATTTATCAACATAGAAATATCTGATTCAGAACCGTTCAGATACTTCACGACCACTTTAGTATTAGAGGCTCTTTCCCATTGACCTGTTTCCTCATCCCACTCTTCACGTGGTCCATCGCGCCATATTGCTGAATTAACCGTAGAAAACCCATCTTCTCGATCAAACTGCAGTTTACTCAT